TTGTCCTTTTTAAGTCGTGTCTGTTGCATCGGACACACTGTTCTTTTCTGTTCTCTGACCTTGATGGCTGGGTATCGTATCCTAGCGTTGAATACAAAAGTGCACCGTGAATATTTCTTGACTGTTTATCGTGTGAACCTGTGGACTGGGGCAACAGAATAGCCGAGTATTTGCCAGTATTCAAAAGTCAATTAAGCTGTCGTTTAGCGAGGAAGTAGACGGTCTTTTCTACACAGTATATCACCGTCGAACGCCATCGCCTAAAAACCCCGCTACGTTACATATACAACGCATGATCCCCAGGAAAAATGCGATGGTCAATGATGAATCGACCTCGGATGAGGAAGAAGTTATGTCTATTCACGACACCACTGATGACAGCGAAAATGTCGAATCATTCGAGCAGGGTGATTTTGTTGTGGTGAGATTCCGAGGGTTTTGATCCATCGCGCACTATATCGGAAAAACTCTAGCGCGCACTATATCGGAAAAACTCTAGAAGTTTCTGGTACGAGCGACGCAGAAACCGTAGAGATGAAGACAAGATTTTTGAGAGGTGAGACGAGTGGATATGAGAAGAACCGATGCCATGGCATTTTCGTACCCGTGTGAAGAGGACGTCGCTTTGCATCGAAAAGATTACATAACAATGAAGCCTCCTGCGCCGTTGCGCATAGGCGGCACTGCCAGGTGTGCAGAAAAACTAACTTTTGCAATAGATCTATCCCCATATGATCCTCTGTGAACTCCAGTGGTTGAATTTGAAAATTTTCTTTGAGTTTGTTAACTTGCTCGTCATTTTTACTTTTCAACGCGCCCCATGACTGGTCCAAGCTATCCCATTCTCGGGGCATGTTGGAACGAATTACATGCGTACATTCGAGGTCCAATTTCTTCCGGAGGCAATGCGTTGAGGGGCATTATTTGTTACTGTTAAGTGGGGCAAGAACAAAGGTACATTGTCAGAGTTGTCCTCGGTACGTTGATTCCGCGCCGAATACCGCTGATTGCTGCACTAGAAGAACGAACGTTTCGCAGTTTTTTGAAAATTTTGACGGGTGGCTAACTGGACCAGTTTTTGCGTTTGCTTGAAAGAGGCAAACCGAAGCTATTTGCAATCAGTTTTGGGAAAGACGACAAAAAGAGTACGAGAGACAGACTTTGGTGGCGCGGTGTTAATTGGCGGAAAGAGCAATGAATCTGGGAAAGTGGAAATCTGAACTTGTTTCTCTACCTAGAGCAGCGTTTCCCAAACTTTTTCGGCCACGGAACACTTACACTCATTAGCTCGCTTCGCGGAACATCAAAAAATGATAGGGTAAAATTGATAAAGAAACATGGTGTAATGTGTAATCCAATGGGTTTGTCGTGGCGAGTTGACAAATGCGCCGCAAAAACTAACAGAATTGTGTTAAACTCACCTAAAATATGATTGAATATTCTACATATTGCATTTATTATAAATGTTTTATTGTTTCTAAATTTAAATTCTGTGCATATGTCAATAAATTCATTTTACCTTTCTATGTCGTTACTTTCCATTACGTAGTGTTTGCCTGTAATGTTACGTCTAATTGAGATAGAAGTACTTGCTGCAATTTCGCGAACTGCAGACCTGCAGTTTATTTATCTGCTGAATCGAGTTTAGCGAACATGAGTAATTTTTTCAGCATTTCAAAGTAAAACCAGGCAGAGATGGAGGGAAAAGAGTTGACCTTTTACCTTTATTCTTTAGACCTACTTGTTTGCCCATAGCAAAACCAAGAGGATTGCTGTAAACTTAATAATGAACTTAACAGTCAAAGGCCGATTGTTAAGGAAATTGCCCCTACCCTAGTTATTCCGCTTTAGGCCGACGGTGACGCGATGTTGGGCGACAACTTCACGATCCCTAGAATTCCATGGCGACCAATTTCGACGTATTTTTGATTCTTTTTCCACGGAACACACAGAAGACGCTCGCGGAACACAGTTTGGGAAACGCTGACCTAGAGGATATTGGCAACTCAATCTGACGCACTCGTCCGAACTGTCGCAGTTGAAACTACGTACGACATGCGAATTCCGCCTCCTAGATGAATGAATTCCGGTGAATATTAATGGGGTGGCTTCGTTGGCAATCCGACGGTCCTAAATTTCAGATTAGTTCGGGATTGTTCAGTTGTATATCGTCATCGTGATGAGTATCGCTAGCTCGTCGTCGTCATCAATACTGTGTTGTTTTTCTTGTATCCGACGAGATGGCATGATTTGTCTTTGATAATTTATTTGATGCTAATTACTTCATTCATATTTGAGTCAGCCGTTTCGAATATTCTCAATATAATGAGCAAATTATACCTTTAGTTTAAATTTCATGATGGCTGATAGTGACAGATAAAAAAAATTATTATTTTTAACAATTCATAGTTAGATATTTGAAAAGCGTTGAAAAATAAATGTAATTTTCATATGTAGTTTTAAGAAATATTGAACACGTTTTCCAAGAACTATGCCAGCCATGGATAAGACCGACGAGCAATCATACTTTTCAGATTACGATCCAAGTTTGACTTATATATGTCTGAAATAGTTCATTGTTCAATACAATCAAGAACTACAATTTCGTGTCTAGAAAGCATTCAATAGTAATGGGACACCAAGTCTCGCTTTCCAAATAATAAATTTAAAAATAATAAATTTTTTATCTCCGGTTAAACACTGTCACTATCAGCCATCATGAAATTTAAACTAAACGTACAGGGATGGTCATAACCGAATACTTGACTATTCTGAATACATTCTTAAAAAATATTTTCGAATCTGGAATTCTTTTTAAAATACCAGAAAATATATATTTTATTCACTTTTCTAAAATCCAAAGACATAGGAATTAAGCTTTATTAATATTATTATAATAAAGCAGATATAAATGTGTAATATAATTGAAATTTGTGGTTCTTTCGCTTCTGAGAATAGAGAATTTATAAACATTACAGTATTTATACTTATACTAGCAGGTACAGAAGAAAAAAATAGGCGCCCAGTGAAATCAAAGTCCTTTTAATAAAGCTCAAACGGCTAATTTTAGCTATAAATTCTGAGCGTTTTCTGCCAGCGTGATTACAACTGTAACTGTTAAATATTTTTAATCAAAACGTGGACAGCGACGAAAAAATTAGTACGTGATATTCGAATATTAAATTCGAATAGAACATCCGTGCCTGTAATATTTCGAGATTCGACTAAAGTTAAACAAATAATACGCCGTTATAATATACCTAATTATATTCAGAGAAATATCTGTCGTTATTTCTCCATAGAACATGACGTTTCGTCGCATAGGCCCATAGGGTGGCCTTGTGCGTGATTGACGCATAAGTTCAGAAACATTTGAAACCAAATCTCAACTAAGAGATTATAAACTCGTTATTTATGATTTAGAACAGGTCTACCAGGTGTCTGACAACGAGTTTTTGCAGCCCGCGTAGTTTGAGTTTCTTCCCAATTTTTCAAAAATGCTGAAAATGGTGCGTTTCGCAAATCTTTTGGCGATGCCTAATTTTGAAATTTAGCGAAATTTTCTGGAATTGTATTTGTGTTATACCGTTTATAGGAGAAAATCCAAGTTAGTCAAAAACAAAGAAAATTGCGCGAGATGAACGGTCAACTTAGCATTAGCAGTGTTTTAGGGAAGTATATATATACCAGTATCTGTATTGCTGACTTTGGATGACTTAACTGACGACGGTTCTATAGCACAACAAAATCTTCGTGGATTTTACGAAAAGTACGAATGCGAGCTCTAAATAAACTCGTGGTAAATGTAACGAACTTAATAAGTGTATACGCTCTTTTGCAATATATTGAGTTGGAAAAGTTGAAGAAGATGCTCGGACCTATGCGATGTATTCTAAAATCGTCTCAGATAACAATAAATTAAATGGTATCCCTCTTGATGGTTGGAAAATATTCAGGTCGGTTTGACTTGATGCACTCCCGTCTTATTAATCACTAATGTGCTTTATCGAAATTGTGGTAAAGTTTGCGAATTATAATAAAAACGGCTCCCGAAAGCACAGGAAAGATGTTATGAAGCCCGCCCCACAAAAACGCACGCCTGATTAGAATCTGGTGTAAACTATGTTCTGTTCTTCAAGAGAGAACCATTAAAGATGGCAACAAAAAGCATAAGTTAGTTACACTGCGTAACATAATTTTTGTCCCTGGTTTCTAATTAGTTACACCCCAAACTGACATTAATTTTCGTTTTGTGAAAATGGGAGGGGGATTTTCCCCAAATCAGTTTTCTGTAAAAAATTATAATATAAAACAAAACAGCAAACATCTTTACCATTACAATATATTCTGGTGATATTTTTTAGATACTTCATAGATGCGATTTATATGTAAGAAATTTATAGCGAGATAGCGTGCAAGAAGGGCAAATATTGAATGTACGGTAAATCAATTTCTGGATGGGACAAGTTGTAGGTTTTTTTTGATGTCGCCTTCACCGCCGAAAAAATTTGTCTTCTCAGTCATTTGGGCCTGTTGTAGTGCGAAACTGTGCGTCTCAACTATCCTGATGGCAACATCAACATAAAGGTTCTGGAAAGTCACTTTGTAGACCCATTAGAAACTGTGCCATTCCGAATATCCAATTACTGGCCACTCCAATTGATCATGCTTCGAAACAACAAACTAAGGATATTTGTTATTTAACAAATTAGCATACAGCTGTATTGAGCTGCCGAAATAGATTTGACTGTGTGGAAATAAAGCTTTTCGACTCTCGCTAGAGCCCTCAATAAAAATCCCGATTTTCACAAAACCAGAACCTAAAAAGGGAGCACCCCTACAACATGAATCCTAACCGGTACACACATACCATTTTCAGGTAGTGCGCCATCTTGGTGCGCATACTTCTGGAGGTCCTAAAAAGGATTAGTACCAGTAGTCATATGGTTGGGTGGTAGGATATTATTATTACCAGGAAGAATATCAAAAGGACCAAATAATTAATAATTTCATATTTTTATTGCATTTTGAAACAAAAACTTGCATAATAATACAGTAAAAAAAAAAACTAAAAGATTTTGAAAAAAAAAATTGAAAGAGATAGTCAATCATGTACTAGGGCAGGTTGATCTAGCGAAGACAAGATTTATAATTCTTGATGTGACCGTGATGTAGAATGATGGATGGGTGATTTGAGAAGATTGGTAGTTTAATTCCCAATATCAAAACATAAACAGTTGCATTTATTGACAAATTCAATCTTTCTGCACATGCTTTGAAGTAAGACAAATATGGCAAGATGCACTACATGAGCAACTTCGCATCTATATAATTCCATTCTTCATGCAGCCAGTTTTGAAAGCTTCAATTCGTTCCAGAATATATGCCCTGTGAAATGATGCAACAAAATAACTGTATGAAACTAAAACCTTTTAATACACTGCTAATAGCTTTTTGTTAATCTATCTGGAATAGTAAACTACCACCCTATCTTACAAAGCAACATTAATGAGTTAACTATTGAAAAATGATCATCTTTTTATTTATGCAATATATGGTTGTTCAGGTGTGCTAGAAGAATAAAATGAATGAAAGATTTCTGCTCTACTGTAACTAACTACAAAGGATATCTAACCTTGCTCTTTTAACCATTTCAGAGCCTGTCCATCTAGGACTATAAGGATAGTTTGAATGAGTAACTTGATACAACTCTCCTCGTTTTGTAACGTGGTAAGCAGATTGAAATATGAGTTTCGGCTGCTCTTGTGGAAACAATCTGCTGAGAGTGACTGAAAAATACAGTGAAAAATTTACTAAAAATCATCACAAGATTAGAACATAAACATAACTTTCTTTGTAAACAATTTAGAAATAGAAGTTATTGGTAGTGATAAAAATTGGGCGCTCCATAAGTATGAGCACCAAGATGGCGCACAACCTGAACATAGTATGTGTACTACCAATAACTCAAATTACAAAGAAATATTTCTAAACTGGATGTTATAGAAGCAAAGTTTAGCAATGAACAAAAGTGGTTATACTAATATATCGATACTCCCAAGTATGCGGACCAAGATGGCAGACACCAGAACGTAGTAGGTGTACCAGATTAGGGTTAGGCCCTAATTTTATTCTAATTTTCCTATTTTTAAGTTCTATTACGAGTTCTGGGACTAGCCAAGTGACTCCCGTAGTATTTGTACCTCAAATTATGGCCTAACCCTAACTTGGTACAAATACTACATTCAGGTGTCCACCATCTTGGTTCACATACTTCGAGAGTACCAATATATCTAATGCCTACAAAAATACTAATCAGATCATAAATCATGACTGTGAAAACTGAAAAAGTTGATACCATATTAAAAAAGCTACCGGTATGTCCTTTTTGAAACTTTTTCTGATAAGTATACCCTTATATGCATTAACTATTAAAAAGAAAAACAAACATTTTTTTCTTGATTTATGTCAATGTAAGTAGCATCTGTTTAATTTTAAGCGTAATATTTCCTGATACAGTATATCATGATTCTGCAATAATACAGATAGAAGACCGCTGTTTTTGAGCAACTATTTATACATGGAATGATCAGCTTAATAACATACCATGAACAATGAAGTAGAAATCTTCATGACTGAACATCAGGCTAATCTTTCGAAAATCTTCTGCATCATACTCAAGAATATTGCTAAAATTTAAACAATTAAAAGAAGTGTAAAACAACACTTGTTATGATAAATGAAATTACTGTTTTATCAGCCATAACATCAAGTTGATCAAAATTAGAGATATTAAGTATTACAACTGTACAAAACATATAATTCTCATTTCTATGTTGAAAAATTGCAGAAAACATAGGTAATAACCTCGAAAACTGACAGAGCAATGATGCCACATATTCTCTTCTTTTTGAATGTCCATTTTTCAACAAAGCCACTAATTCTTGAAGATTTTTATGAACTGATTGAATGTATTCAAGTAAAATAGTGTTTTGTCGACTGTAGTGCGGCAACTTCATGGCATTTCGACCTCCCAATACACTGAATAAGAAGTTTTGTTTTAACAAAGTTTCTTCTATTCCAATATTCCTGAACACTGAACAGATATGTGCTGAAAACTCAGTGCTAAATATCACAAAATGGGTTATTACTAATAAATGCCAAAGTGTGCATATCAGTCAAACTCCAGCCAGTACATAGACATAGACCAATATAATTATTTTAATAAGAGTGGTAGAAATCTACCTATGAAAGTTTAAATTTAATCTTATTGGGCACTTCTATGCACAACAGACTATTTTAAAAAGATGATGGTACCTGGAATGTGAAAACATCAGTTATGAATGACGTCTGTGATTAAAATAGGATGTCAACAAACATAACATGACTTACTGTTCCATTCTAGGAGGCATGTATAGTTGGGGAACAATTTTTCCACTGTTTGCAGTTGATCGAATGAACAATACTGGTTGGAGAAAACCAGGATCAATGGGAGGTGAATCCTGAAAAGCATTTGATCATCAGGATCAAATTGAGACAACAACTATATAAATCAAAATCTTAGTTCAAATTATCTTATGGAACTACAACTGCCATTCAATTGTTTTATATTGACTAAAATTGTTTTAAAAGTTAATTTAAAAACGCTTAATTAAAATTTGCTAGCTTACAATTACATTCAAACATCAATGAAATATGTGATTTGGACACTTCAAGAGCAGATGTTAAAATTTGCTTGTTTATCAATCAGATAAAACACTCCACAACAATGAAATATATTTTGTAATTAATAGGTTGAAAGAGCACTTATCTATTCTCAATATATGAGTCATTAATGCAAATATTATTCATGATGCTAAGGTATTTGACAAGCCAGCCAAATTCATTCCAATTTATACAATATATATATATAATGTATAGGCAATATCCAGGTTTGATACATAAAACATATACTGGCTCCCAGAACTTTTTCACTTCTTTAAACAACTAAAAAACGTCAAATTTCTCATGTTACAAACCTTGAAACAGATGTCAGGAATTTGACTTGAATCCAATTGGATCTGAACTAACACACTGAATGTGTATCGAGGTGACTGAAAACAATAATTCATGAAAATGTCAAGATTTAACAGTTCAGTGCTGATTTTATCTTATAACATGTTTATTTGGCTTTGGCAACCTCTAGAAATTAATTCCACGGAATACCTCAATGAACAATTTCAGTTGAACTATATATATATATATATATGTTCTTATGCACTTTGGGCATGGCATGGCACTCACTCTGGCGTCGCCAAACTAGTTGATCACTGAAAAAATACTCAAAAACGTATTTGTTTATAACATGATGTTGGTAAACACTAGAGCTCGATCGATATCACTTTTTGACGCCGATACCGATATAACGGCTAACAAGTGGCCGATAACCGATATGCCGGTTTTAAAAAAAATCATATTTTGAGCCACAAAATGGGCTTTTATTATGTACCTCGAAAGTCTGTAGTTTCATTTTGATATTTATTATCATTGCAGTGAGAATCTCATTTAACTAACTCCAGTTAATGCTTGAACAAATGTTATTCTGTAACTTTTCCTGTGACTTCAATATCAGTCTAGCCTTTTCCAGGAAAGAGAATTGTTAATCTGACGTTTTTAAACATAACTGTGGCCGTGGGCATATGTTGAGGGTGTTGTAAAATTATAGATTGATATTTTTTTTAAAGTGAATCGAGATAATGATAAATTCCTTCGATATTGTGATAGCATATGTGCAGTATGTGAAATTTTTAATAACTATGTTTCATGACTCTCAATACCTTATTTAGTCAATTATAATGGATTGAGTTTTTTTGTGTAATTCTCAGCAAAATGATAAACAACCATCAATATTGATAAAACTGTTACCCCAGAAATTCAAAATTCAATTTAGAAAGGTCACAAATTCGCAACTACTTTGATGACATTATTGCTTTGAGCTATCTGTACCATGTTTGTGTGATTACTCACCGGCTTCAACTCGATTTTATTTATAGAACCACCGTTTTCTATTGATACTAAATTTGCTTTTTTCTCATTGTGCACTCTATCGAAAACGTTACTCCTGATAATAACTTTTCAGTTATGATCATGCATGAAATGGCTAATCATGTGCCAACGGAAATTAGGAGAGACACCTTTTTAACGCAAAATGAAAGCGAGAGAAATATTGGGAAACCAGCAGTTATGCAGAGGCGAGAGCCGTTGAAGCACTCATCCCAGCGCTTGCCGAGTATGGCCGTTATATATTGGCAAACACTCAATATCGGCTCGATATATCGGTCGAACTCTAGAACACACCCTGTGATACAGTGCGCTAGGAACAAATACGAAGTCATTTGTATGCAATAAAATGCATAAATAAATGATGATGAGCCAATGAAAGCCTATACCAGGACGACCGCAAAGACAAGTTTCAAGTGTCCAGTGCGACCCCAGGTCAATATATATTTCATGAAACTTTAGAGGTTCTTTCACTGGCTTTTTGAATTTGGTCATGTTGTGGTATTAGGTAAAATAAGCTAAAACCAAACAGTGATGTCACAATAAGCACCTACAATTTCTATAGCATAAGCATAGAGCGATGTCTATGGGCCTGTTTTACAATAAGCCATGGTACAAACTGCTAAATTTAACATGGTTTGTCAAATCTTAGATGTTTTGTACATCCATTTTCAACCATACCTTAGCGACCCCATGACCTGTTTGCAACCTTAGCTACTTATCACTTCGACCTAATTTGGGGTCGCGACCCCTAGTTTGGGAACCCCTGGCCTATACCATCAATTAACGCAGAAAATGAGAGCAATGACATTGTTACTAAAAGTTTTGGAGCATAATTTTTCTTACACCATATCGATCTTCTTCCTTTACCACACAGGCATCTAGAAATGGATATTCATTTGAAGCTAGTACTTCCTCCACATTCTTTGACAATTTGGGATCAGCTTCCGACAATAGTTTCAAATGATGTTTCTTATAAAGTCTAGAATAAAGAGATTTATAAAAAAGTGTACCTTGTGCACTTCAACATAAATATAAGTTTTTATCAACAGTAAGTCAGTTGACTGTATTTTAGTCGTAAGAACACTCTTTGTTAAGTTTATTTAATTTGTGTCCAGTTTGTATATAGTAAAAACACAGTTATTATATGTTATTGAAGCAAAGAAGCATGAACAAAAATTGATCATGAGACAGCAAAACAGAATCCAATCCTCACTTTAAAAGGTCTTTTAAAACATTCAACAGCGAATCAGATTCCTTCGAATTCCAATTTTTTAAATGCGGAATGTCTTCATAATCAGGATCAAATCCATCTTGATCAGATATTAGAAAATCTGGCAATTCTTCACAATCAAGTCCATCAAACAAAACTCTCCCTAAATAATGTAAATATAATTCGTGGATGAAAAATAAGCTTAAAAAAGTCACAAAAGCACCGAACAATATTATTTATTAATAAGTGACCACTCTGAGATTTGGAATTTCGTTACCGATATCTGCATTGAATAAAATTAACTCCTACAATACAAATATTTTACAGGTGTCACTTCTGGGAGACAAGCTCGGGAAAATATTTTTCAAGTTTAATGGGAGTTCTTTCCATCAAACATCACAATCAAGGTCTAATGAAGACCTGATGTGCACAAGTACAAAAGTATACATCTGTGGTGAATAGGGATGGGAGTGGTTAATCATGATTAATCTTGGATATAAATAAAGTAGTAGGCTAGTATTTTATTCCATCAACAATGTAGAATGGTTCATACACTACATTTCAAAATGGTATTGACCAGTGAATAATTTGTCTGTGACTTTCTATGTTTTGTGCCTGATAGGCAATATTTTCTCCAGATTACATGCCATAATATATACATACATTGTAATGTTGCTCCTGCAAATGGTATGCAAATCGTAAATATATCACATTCTTCACTGCCAGTTTCAGAAGAATTTTGTGATGTACTGAAATGAGAAATAAAGAAATGAATACAAATGAGCAGTTAAGCACTTTTTATTACTACCAAGCAGTGCTGATGCTAACACAGGCAGCATAGTGGTCGAAATGAAAAAAATAAAATTATCTCAGTACCAAAGAATTCTTGACAAGGCAATCATGCTTGTGTTTTCAATATCATGAGACTAATTAATTAGGTCACAACACACGGTCATTTCACCTGCTAGTGAAATCCTTGAGAGAGGCTTTGCCAGCACAAAGATTCAAGTCAGCTTCGGTCAATCGTGATAACAACGGTTCAATCCAGGGAAAAACATCCATTTCACAAATTTCATCCATTCTATCCATTTATATGTTTTATTAATAATTGAGTTCTAAAAAATTATATATTTATAGTTATTCATCTCAAAACAAACGAAATATAAACAAAAATCTACAATATCTACAGTAGAAACCATACAAAAAACCAAATTAACAGTGAAAATATATTAAAAAGTTTATCAAACAATTTGGAACAGTTAACAATGTCTAGATAGGGATGTTAATCAATAGGAAATTCAGAAATGTCTGTTCTGTTCATATTCAACTAAAGTAGAACTACGTATTTAGGTACCGTATGCTATTTCTGGTGGATTAATATGATAGGTACAATATAAATTCATATGGAAAAGTAGCAAGCATTTTTAACTACACATTGTCTGCAATAAACTAAGAATACTACTGATATGCACAATGAAATACATCCATAAAATTACAGTGCATCATGAATGACAGATTTGAAAAACACTCATTATAGGTAAGAATAATATACAGTAATTAAATGGTGCACTATTATCAACTATTGTTCTCATAAAACTTTTATAGGACTGATAAAAACCTACTGAAAGCATGAAAATGTTTCTCACTACGGTATGTTGGTGAATTGCCAAACTGATTCAACTTCATAGCGACCCTTAATTTCTCTAAAATTCGGGTAATTGAGTTGTTACCAGTGGCCTACATTGTGCCTTAGTAAACTACTTTTATCACATTCACAAGATATTGGACATAAAAAACTTTCAGTCTTAATGATAATGAGAAAATATTCAAGTTAACTCCAGCATGCAAAATAAACAGTCTCATATGACTATTTCAGGAACTCAAATAGCATCAAAAAAACATGTTTTATCAGATGGGAGCCAGTCAGGTGAATAAATGTAATGTTACACTTCAAAAACATCCTTGATATTCTGTTTGTCAATTTCAGCATTGTATGCATCAATTTCTATGTTTTCATCTCTGAGATACTCATCAACAAATTTTGACATATTGGGATGATGCATCATTTTGTTGTTGTCAAACAAACTAACATAGAATGAGCCGTTGTAAAAAAATCCTTCAGGAAGACGTCGGGTGGAATTTTCTTCATGAATCATCTGAATTTCGTCTTTCGTTAGATGCTGTTTTGTCTTGTGACATTTCTTACTTGGTTTCTGCCTCCCACACTTCCGTAGCCAATCCATTAGTGCATCCTTGTTCAAATCCATGCCTTGAAATTCCAGATAATAAGACTTTGATTTTGAAGTACTGTTCTTTGAAGATGGTGGGGTGGGAAGTGTTGGTTGCTCAATTTTAGCATTCAGAGAAACTTCATTCATAGCAGAAGCAAAGCTGACTTCAAAATCTTGATTTGGTGAATCTGTAAATGCTACACAACCACTTACAAAACATACCCCCCCAGTAGGTTGCTGCAATGCCAAGGAGGTTTTAAGGCCTCTTGAACGAGCGCAAAATGTCCCTTTTATGAGTGGTTGAGAAAATTCAAGGACAACTTTGGAAACGGAAGGATAACTCAATTTTGATTCATATCTTCCTAATGACAATGCTGGTCTGAGCATAAAGCGTTCCTTCTGCATCCTTGCACTCATGAAACTGTCTTCAGCCAAGATGAGTTCAAAATCACTCTTTCTTATCAATTTACCACCAGGACATATAAGAAATGCAGCTTGTTTGTTCATGCTGCGAAGAAGTGCTTGCACCAATGTTGTATTTTTATCATTGATTTCAGCGGCCTCAATTGATGGAGTAAAAAAAGCAAAATTGCTTACTACTCCAAGTAAGCACTGATCAAAGAACTTTGGGTAATTTTGTCGTTCTGTGAAATTGATAGATTTGGGCCAAATACAAGTTGTCACGGCTCCAAGTTTCATCTGCTCACGAATAGATATATCAGGATGATAGGTTATGCATTGAACGATCTCACACAAGTCAAAAAATCCAACCGCCAATACGACAATTCTCAGCTTTTTCCTGGCTGCAGCACTTGGTCTTGCTACATGTTTACGTCCAATAGCCTGAGTGAGTTGTTCCACTAAATTTTCCCTGTGTAACATAAAGAGTGTCTGTGATGTGTTATTAACTGGTCTAATAACAACCCATCTGACTTTTTCTTTGTTCAAAGTCACTAGTTGTCGGCTAATATTTTCAGCCCCTGAAGATGGCAATCCAGCAATCAATGTTACAGGTACTTTTCATCCTCCATTTTACCATTTACTTCATTAGAAACAGAATTGTTTCCGAAAAGGATAGACATGGTTGGTCGTGGTATTGGTAAACCTCCCGCAACAGATGCTACTGTCAAATGAGAAACAAATTCTTTTACAGTAGTATTTGCAGATATAGCAGATTTCTGGAACGTTTCTTTGGTTACATCAAGATGCTTTTCATGAACATTTTGAATAATTTTATACATTTGGTCAAGATCAGATGACAACGACTTCATGTGTTTCAATATTCCATCTGACACAGAAGCATGCACAACACATGCGTAAAACTCTTTATAGGCTGGTGTACCTGGCATGAGGGCCAAAATTAGACATTTACTCGCCTGAGTCAGTGAAACATCTGCCATTGTATTGATTTCTCCTCTGCATTGTGCTGGTATTCTTGTCCAGAATGTCCTATTTTCTGGCAAATCAAAATTTATCACAAGAATACAGACTTTACCAGGGGAATTGCTATCATAATATTGAATCCCAGTTTGTAGTAAGAGATCTTCCATGTTTGCAGCATTCAGATAAACACTTCCATCTTCATTAAACCGAACATTAGCTTTACAAGGAGAATACATCAGTGACTTGGAGCACACCACCAAATCTTTGCAGTAAGCTAATGACTCCTGTCCATCAAACTTGTAGTCAGATTTGACAGTCTCAAGCAGCCATTCTTTGTAAGATGGAATGTCTGATGTCAAGACATTAAAAGCAGAATTCAAACAAGATTGTTCTCCATCAATAACTCGAAGCGATGATACGATGAAAGTATCACAAAACACAATAGAACCAATTGCTTCACCGACATGTGAAGTTTTTATGTTTTCAAGAGCAACTCGAATCACATTTATATTTTGGAAAGATTTTCCTTCATTGCTTCGAAGTACCTGGCCAGTTTTATCACATGATATAATTTTGCATTTCGCATCAAAGACCAAAGATCCTGCAACCCCCTTCGCAAGTAAATACTCAATGACTTTTTTCTCCGCTTTTGGGGCATCAAGTGATGATACATACTCAGAAATAGCAATGGAAGCACCTCCAACGCATGCAGCATACAAATTCACAAGGTCATTAAACTCCTTGTCATTCTCACCAGTGCTACCACTCTTAAAGAAGTATGTTCGAGTGCACACCAGAGGACAATTAGGGGCAATGCACTGCATTACCATATGGTATGGGAGAGACTTCCCCTTTCTTGATGTAGATTTAATATTTGTGCCCATTGCCTTATATTCCTTGCTTGATCCCAGAGAGCGTGTTCCAAACATCACATATGGTTTAAGGGGAGGGTCCACACTGGCCCTTTCTTCATGTTTAGCTATTTGGCCATGTTTAAAATAGCATTGGAGGGGTTCAAGAACCTGTTCTTCTTTCAACTGTAAAATCATTTTGCATTTCATGGCATTCTGAATCACATTTGTAGCTTCATACCAATGACGTTGAAATAATCCAAAAGACCGGAATATTGTGTCTTCAAACACAAATGGATCACACTGATTGTAAACAGGCAACAGGAACTTCCTCATATTTATTACTTTGTGATCAAAAGAAAAATCTTTGCCAACACCAATATCTTCAGAGGCATATGATTGCATGACAGGCCATTTTTTGACAGGTATCTCACAATTTCCATTGGTATCATTTGCAGTAACAGATCCACTGTATGAAATGCCAAGTGTATCGCTCTTCCTCAGCATCGAAATGAAGCTTTTCACTTTGTAATTCTCTTCAATGTCAGTGTCCCGAATTTTGTTTTTTGCATCTTGTAATCGGCAATAAATCTGTAGATTTTTCCAGTGTGTAACATAAGGTAGAATATAGTTGTACAACAATGAACCACAATACAATGATACAGAATCAGGTCGAATGAAGAAGATCACATCCTCAGTATCTTCTTCTTCTAATCCCGAGTTTTCTAATTCAGTTTGTCGATTTGAAAAAAATCCAAAAGTCAAATAGTTTGCAAGTTCACGACATCCCTCGTTAAATCTTCCATCAACACCCAGAACTACAAGAATTGCATCCACTGATTCTTTCGAATTCACATTGTTTTTCAACAAATTTTGAACACTTCGAAGCCTTTGGCAACTCAATGAAGTTGAAAACTTATTTCTTTTTGCAATTGGTTTAATGATATCAGTCATTTTTAATTTATATACCGAAATCCTATATGAATGCATCAATGGACAAAATATATTATTGAAAAAACAGCAAATGATACTCCTTGTCTGGACCCTAAGGTCACTACATCAAATAGCCGGGTCTCATGTACTTTCCTACCTAACATACTTCTAGTGGGCGTAGCATGAAAAATTTTCACGTATCAATCCTAACCCCCACCTGACTACACCATCCAAAAATTACGTCATTACGACGTCACAGTGACGTAATGGAGCCCTTCAAACTATACGAACTGCCATCCAAGACGCGCAAACGAGCACCCGAAATCGAACAGTTGGTTCTCTCGTCGCAACGATTCCAGTGGGAGAGAGACCGATAACGTCAGTCAGTTTTTTATCGTCGGCGCCAATGCCGTTTCGGTCGATCGTGCGTATATTTAGCAAGCTCTATGCCGTGATTGTGATGTCGTAGGGATTTAATTTTTGGATGGCGTAGTCAAATGGGGGTTAGGATTGACATATCAAAAAATTGTTATGCTACGCCCACTAGAAGTACGTTAGGTACGAAACTACACGAGACCCAAATACCAGTAGCCTACAACAACAAATCATAATCAACTGCATATAGGAAGAAAACCTTGGTGCAAGAACAAAATAATAACAAAACGATCTAGCTAACTTATATGTACACTTCGTTTCCAATAATTGAATTGATTTAAGTAATTCAATAATTGAATTGAATAAACCACTAAGACAGGGTGGGCAAAATAAAGCTCACTTCACTTCATAGCCCACTACCGGTAACTAAGTCCATTATCTGTAACTGGACCCCCTCAGGAATTGTTGTAAATTGTAACCGGTACCGGTAGGCACTTATTTAGGCACTTCGAAAAAAAGGTGAAATGGACGTAGTAACTCCTAGAAAAATATTGACAATTTTCAACTAATTAACTATCATTTTAAAAGTTATTACGCCCATTTCACCTTTTTTTCGATGTGCCTAAAAAAGTGCCTACCGGTAACAATTTATTATTTCTAAATTCCAGTACTAGACTCAAGTGCATCTATTGGATATTTACCCACCCTAATCAGTGTGGGTAATATGTTTATGTCTCTGTCTTTTATTAGTGATAATTGCCATTTTCTTTATTTTTCGAAGTGCCTAAATATGCAAGTGCAGTTTCAAGTATTTTGTGGCGTCTACAGCTGCCGCAAAACCATGGCGGGATTTCTAAACCACGGCCACTAAGACCAAACCCACGGCGACTGACTTTTTAGCTGCCACAAACCAATAGCGAGCTGCCGTGGTTACGGCAGCAAATCGAATACCACCAATTTTACTGCCGTAACCACGGCAGGTCGGCTGTAATAGCAGGGCTGCCCCTAATCTGCTGATGGTGATAAATATTTGGTGAGTTGGAATGTTTTTCTTATGGATACAGTTTGGATGGATTTGGGGTTAGGGTTAGGGTTTAAGTAGATATAATTTCGCATGATAAACTAAAATATGGTACATGAATTTGTAAATATATACCGGTAATAGCGCCATAAAACCATGGCAGGAGACGGCGTGGTACGTTCGTGGCAGGAGCTGCCATGAAGTGGTAAGAACTGCGCCTCTAAATATGTGCCTAGCATATGTGGTGACCAAGCGCGTGCGACTGCCTTTAATACTACGTTTTAAATATTGTTATTGAGTTTGCCCGTTGCAATTTGCGTTTTCAACATTTCATTTGACCATTTTTAACTAATTAATTATGTTTTTAAAAGGTATTACGCCCTTTTCACTTTTTTCCAAAGTGCCTAATTTGCAAGTGCCTACTTTTAGTCCGTCCCGCTTTCAAGACGTTTCCGTTGAATGAAAACATTCTCGATAGAAACTTGCGCCCGATGGACCTTTCCCCGAGCATCGACTTCCTTGTTTACTTCGTGACATTGGCAAATCAGCAAGATGCAAAAAGTGACCTAACAATCCCTTTTCCGCATCCGCTCAGACACTTTTCTCACTCAGACAGATTTTCAAGCGTGGTTGTAAACATTACCTCGCTTTCGCGTTTTTGAACTCTATTCGTTAGTTTTCAGTTGTGTTTCGGAAACTTAAATATAAATCAGATAATTCAATGATCACTCTGTCTTCCTAGGTGTTTTAATTTAATTGCAGTATTAAAAATTAGTGTAGAAATAGCTGTGGTAGACTTGCCTGAAATTGTCTACCGGTATTTTTAAAATACAGATTGTTGTATGCGATGAATCATAATGATGGTTTGAAACACATACCCCATTTTACAGGCGCCAACTCGCAAAATCACTCTTAAAATAGCCCTGAAAATTTTGCAATGGTAAAGTATATGGAGAATTTTCCGGGGGTCAGAGGTCGGGGAAAGGTCCATTGCTTTCATCAGCATGACATGTTATTTTGGCCGTAAAGGCCTTTACGTTTGTTGTTATTTTCTCTAAAACGCAAATTTTCCACAAATTTGTTCCACGATAACGATGAAAATTATTTTATTTTTGTACTCGCGCGGAATTGTGAATCCGACGTTCATCGGCGGCGAGTTTCTGAAGAAAACGCAAATTTTTTGATTGAAAAGCGGCAATTTAAAATACTGAAAATAAAACCGTAAACAAAATATGTTTTATTGAGGCCCGCGACAGTTTAAAACACGCTTTTCTAGGCAGTGAAAATCGTAAATGGTCCTCGTTTAAAAATATATTGTCCCTAATTGAGGGCGGGATTTGCCTGATTATCCATTACTTTAATTAAATTGCCGTTGAAAATTTTTGTGTTAACATTATACAAGGTTTGAAACATCATTTTCTCCCGGGCTGTGAGAATGTATATAATATAATTAATCTAAAGTATATGCAATCAATTTTTATTGTGCTGAAATAAATTTTACTCTAAGATTTTACGTCACGTTTATGGGTTTTTCGAACGGTTTTAATAATTCGAGTGGCGGCATTTTGATTGAGCGGAGTCAGTGTTACACATCTCAAATTTTTTTGTCGACGCAACCGCAGGTTAAATTGAAAACAATTAAATTAATAAAGCAAGACATTTCAAATATGCCCTTATCGGTCACGAATTCATCACTTTGCACAACAGAAAAATATATATTCGTTGTCATATGATGTTTAAATTATTTTTTGCTTGGAGGAATCGTGGACTATGGGCCATGCACGTCCACACACCCGCGAGTAGAAACGGGAATAGGATTCTGACCTGTTTTTAGTTATTTATCAGCCAAACGCTCAAGTAATTTGGCTATTTTACTGTCAAATTTTCATATTGACGTTTTCAATATTACATAGTAATTATGAAGAAATATATCAATAGAATATTAGTGGATTTTGGGACATAATCTCGCGCACGTAACTCAATGTATCAATTTGATAGAATAAGTAGGCTAAACATTTATTTTACCACCCTTGTAGCCAAAGCTTGTGATCAGGGATGGCAATACTCATCGACTATTTTGAATACATTCTGAAAAATATATCGATACTGAAATTCCGAATACATTGTAAAATCCCCCACATAAATACTATTCACTTTTCTAAAATTCAGGGACATAGAAATTAGGCTTTGATAATGTTATTATTGTAAAGCAGTCATAAGGCATGTGTGATATAAATGAAATTGTGATTTTCTTGCTTCTAAGGAAAGAGACTTAATAAGCATTACAGTATTTATATCTATAAATTGTGGTGTTAGCTGAAAGCACAGAAATAAGAGCAACTAGGCTCCTAGTTTTAAACCATAGAGTAGAATCGGAGTCTTTATTAACAGCATACGCACATTTTGGCACGATTATAAATTCTGTCTGTTTATCGTCAAGCGAGAGTGTCATTTACTCCATCGACATCGTTAAATTTCGACATCATTATCTCTTTCCACAGGTATTAAATATTGTGATTCCACTAATTTTAATTTTGTTTAACCGTAAATATATACTATATATGTCCATTAAATAGTAGGGATGGGGGAGCTCCAGAAGTATGTTCACCAAGGTGGCGCACAACATGAACGTATTATTTGTGTTCCGCTTAGCGTTCAGGTTGTGCGACTAATAATCGATAGCCCATAACGATAACTCGTTCCCATGGTAACCAGGTATCCTGTTATCAAGGGCAATTGTCAAAATGCCCTTTTTATCATATTCCTTACTTCTTAAGTACACATCGGTTTACTTATCTTGGAAATATCCTTTTTTGAAGTAATGTTTCGTACACTTGGATAGCAATACGGATGATGCCTCGTTTCCATGGCAACGAAGTATTTTCTTGGATGGCACCATACCCAAAATTAATCAGAAGATGCTACTGTACATGTGTGCCAAGTTTCATGCTTGCATCCAAAAGTGCACAATTCTATCATATTTGAGGTCTTATCCTACAACAGGGATGGCGAACCTTTTTCAATGAATGGGTCAAAAATTATAATTTTATCGCGGAAAAGAAGAGAGTGGGTCACAGATATTTAATCAAAGCAAAGTTAAAGAGTCGACTTACTAACATTTTACCCTAGGCTCGTGGTCGGCAAACTTTATGTACTACAGGGTCGTCCAACCCGTGGCCCGCGGGCCATATGTGGCCCGCGGAAGCATTTCGAGTGGCCCGCACTGTATTTTTCGGAATTGAATAAAACAAATTGAGTATAACTATTAGTCGAGTGATGTAGTATGCAAAGATGTGATACAACAGATTTGTCTATTTTCATGAAATGCGCTCTGCCAGCCCTTCCAAACGAACCATGAGTGCAATTTTGAATCATAACCAACTGGGAGGAGATATCGATACATAGAGGCGCATAGTCGCTACGTACATACATAAAATTCATAATACAATTATAAAAGCGAGATAGGCCTACTTCGTGGCTGAAATAATCGCAAAACAATCGAAGCCATTCTCACGTTGAGAATTTGTTAAGCAATGTATTGTTTGGATTGCCAATGTTTTATATCAGGAAATAAATTAGGCGTTTGCAAGAATTAGTCTGTCAAGTCAAACGATTCTCGTAGTGTTGATGAGATTGGAAATTCTATAGCAGAAATCTCACTTGCAAAAGCAAGAAAGTTTTCATCGTATTCCTTGGCGCTTGACGAAAACACTGACACCATAGTCTACTT